CTTAGTAAAATCAACTTGTACCTCCTCTATCTAAATATCAGATATCTTGAAAAGTACAGAATATATATCCTTTAGATCAGTGGTTCTCAGCCTTGACTGCACATTAGAATCATCTGGGAATCTCTTTAAAATCCTGATTTCTGGACCTCATCCTCCAGAATTCTGTTTCTTTGTTACTAATGTTGTGGCCCCACCCCATAAGAAAGAAACAGAATTTCTGGAGGATGAGGCCCAGAAATCAGGATTTTAAAAAGATTCCCAGGTGATTCTAATGTGCAGCCAACACTGAGAACCACTGCTTTAGATCATTTGTATTATGTATGTTCTATAACTGAACCTGAGTTAAGATATATAGCAATGTACTTTTATCTCAGATTTCATTAAAGTAAACATCCTTTAATGTAATTATGCAAAGAACTGATAAATAAGCAATAAAACTATTAAGACTATGTAATAGAACAAATGTTGAATTAGAATACATCTCACTTAATTTAGCCATATTACCAATTTTATGTGATCATTGACTTTCTAGATATGTAGATCTCTTGTCTTTTTATCCCATGTGCAATCCCTGTGGTCTAAAAGACTCTTTTTTCCTAAGGAGTACATCTTAATGGATGGAGAAGAACTATTTGGGAAGGACTGGAACTATTTTCCAATGATAATACTATTTTGGAAATAAGTTGAAAATTTTTCAAATAATTACTTATAGATGAACTGGGACAGTCTTCTTATTTCCTCCTAACAATTCTGTTTTAATTAAGATATTGGGAGAAGGAGGGGACATCTGTAATACTTTCAACAATACAGATAAATTTTAAAAATAAATAAGATAAACCACTATGAGATCACTTTAAAAAAAAAAGCATATGAGTTTTGAGGTAAGACAGTCTTGCAGTGGAAATTAATTTCTTTTTCTTTTTATTAATCCTCCCTGGAGGATATTTTTTTCAATTGATTTTTAGAGAGTGGAAGGGAGGGAGGGAGAAAGAGGGAGATAAACATGGATGTGAGAGAGACACATGGATTGGTTGCCTCCCCCACACACCGACCAGGGCCAGCGATTGAGCCTGCAACAGAGGTACATGTCTTTGACTGTAATCTAACTCTTGACCCCTCAGTCCTTGGGCCAACTCTCTAACCACTGAGCTAAACCAGCTAGGGCTTCAATGGAAATTAAACTTTGCCATGTAGTTCTAAGCCTGGGTAAATTGCTTAACTCTATTTTCATTAACAGTAAAATGGGATTAATTGTAAGCCTCAACTCATTTTATTGTTATAAATTTGGACTAATCCAATCCTGTCAATAGTAGGGTATGGTAAGCCATAGAGCTTAGGTTCAAATCCTGCCACTGGTCTCTCACTTAGATAATGACCTTGGGGATGATTCTAAACTATTCTATGCTTCCATTTCCTCATTTAAAAATTGAGAGAAATAATTGTATTTATATCTCACTTGATTTTTGAGAATTAAATGAGGTAATACATGTAAAGATTGTATAATTGCTAACATTATATGTGGTTCCTTGTAACCTTCGCATACATATTAGCTAGGCTTGACTAGTTTGCTGGCTACAGTTAGGAACAGCCTAATCTAATCAGCTATACAGCAAAGGGATGAAATCAAACAGTTTTCAGAGAATCCGATCTTACCATCAGAGTTACTTGTCTTCTATTACCTGTGTGGATGACTCCTCACCTTCTCACCATTTGGTCTAGCTAAATTCTTCTGGATTTAAGTTCTTGGAACTTTAACTCTTGCCTGGAAAGTCAATGATTTCTTTATCTACTGACATTTTCAGTCTTCACCATGTTTTGTTATTTAATCCATCCCAGATCTCTTCTGGTTAGGGAGTCTCTTAATAAATATTACACATATATTTTACATTTTGTGGAAATTGGCAGTATTTACCAAGCTCTTCTCTACCCATGAGAAGGGCAGACTTATTTTTTTAAGATACAGGGTTGAAAGAAAAGCTTATTAATTGATGGATAAGCTCATGAAAGTATTTGTTTATATTAACTTCTCTGAGGAGTGATGAAAATGTAAAATTATAGGAAAACACAACCTGATAGAGAACACTTTTGTGGTTACCGGAAAGTTAAAAGAACTTTTTTTACTTCATTGCAATTTTATAAATTACAAAGTAGAAGTTCAACTGATTCCTAAATTTGTGAGTCTACAGAGTTGCTCAAGATTCTCTCGGTGTACCTGTGAATTTGAATTAAGTTCCATGAGAAGGAAACATAAAGAAAATAAATCATTATTGATGGAAAGAAAATGCACAACTCCTATAACACTCTGCAGTGTATAAATCACTTTCTCAACCATTATCACAATCCAGTGTTTCTTTACATAGTTATTAAATTCACATTATTTAGGAGTCAAACTATTTCAAAACATTTGAGGGCAGTTAGTATGATTTCCAAATAATGTAGAAAGACGTTTATTAATGCATACTTTATGCCATTATTATTATTTCTGTTCACAGAGGGGAAAAAGTTGAAACTGTTTGGAATCTAAGCCTTAGATTAGAGCAAATAATACTGGAAAAATCCTTTCTTTCTGTGAACAAAAACCCCCTCAATAATCCTTTTCCCTTTTGTTTAATATTTGGAATGTGAGAGTGTCAAACATGAACTGTCAAGGAGAGGGGAAGAATGTGGAGAGAGCTTAGGAGGGAAGCAAGAAGTTACACTCATAGAGAGGTTGGTTCATTTTCTGAAGATGGGTGTTGAGAAGACAAGATTAAAATTCACTACTATCTCTTTCTGCTCAACACTGCAGTTTCTTGCAGTTCATAAGAGCATGCTGCCAATGATTCTCTTTTGTTATGCCAATTCTTGACCTTTGGCTGTCACGTGACCAATATAGCACTTGGCCTAGAGAATGTTAATTGGCATTATTCTGGCAATGATGGAAACTATATGACTAGTTAAGTCCTTTCTCACAGGATCAGTGTTGGGCAGTGTCTTAAATGTCACCTCCTCCCACCACGTACACTGTTGTCCAGTCTCTATTTTCTCCTTTCCTTCTCTCTTTTCTTTCCTTTTCCATAATCTCTGCCCCACAGTATTTTTTCTCTGTGCTCTATGATCTAAGCTAAAGGGAACTCTTAGTTGGAGTGCCTGACCTTAAGCATAATTTGTTCATCATTAACATCCATCTTACTCATGGGAAGTGGTTTGAACGTTTTACATTTATCACCACATTTGATCCTTGTTTTTAAGCATATAAGTTATGGCATTATTACTACTTATTACCCTTTTATCTTTATTGATATTTTTCTTTTATTAATATTTTACATGGGTTGTATGATGCATTTAATAAATTATCCAAGATCACCAAGGTAATAATTAATGCAACTAGAATACTGGAGTTAAGACCATGGCTACTAAGAAAAATCCAATAAGACAAAGGTCTCGCTTCATTAAACCAAGCAGCAAGAGCAAAGAGGCCATCTCTGTGTTAGTGGAAAACTGGACTATAGAATGTTGTGGTAGCCTGTTCCAATGACAGAGCTGCCCAGCTAACAACCAGAGTTATGAATTGTGTTGTTCCTAGTGAAAAGGCTGACTCTAGCCTGGCCAGTGTGGCTCAGTGGTTGAGTGTCAACCCATGAACCAGGAAGTCACTGTTAGATTTCTAGTCACTGTTAGAGCCCAGGTTGTGGGCTCAATCCCCAATGCAGGTGTGCAGGAGGCAGCTGATCAATGAGTCTCTCTCATCATTGATGTTTCTATTTCTCTCTCTCTCTCTCTTCCTCTCTCTGAAATCAATTTTTTAAAAGGCTGACTCTAAAGTGGAGGTTAGCAAAATTTTGTATGTTAGGTGAGCATAAGGAGAAGCTATCATCTGTATTTTAGCACATATTAGTTGTATAAAAAAACTAGTTTTGATGGAATAAAAATTAAATTCAATGTATTAAACTCATTTTAATAAGCATAACTATTAATATATTTTAAATTTATTTTAAATTGCATATGCTTATTAGAAAAACATTGACTGTAACCAAATTTATAACATAGTAAGAGTCTTCTCATTTTCTCTCACCTAATTTCATTCTACAGAGATAACTGTAGTTATCAGTTTGATGAATATTGCTCTACATATTTTCTATGTCTATATAAACACATGGGATCATATTAAATTTACTAACATGCAGAATTGTGGTGTGTTTCTTTTACATAATATACTATGAGTATTTTTTCATATAAACACAAAGATTTATTTCATTCACCTTAATTATTGGGCTCTTCCCATTGTATAATATATAATAACTCATTTAATCAATATGCTATTGCTGAATATTTAGGTTGTATTATTGCTATTATAAAAATATTGCAGTGAACATTCTTGTATAACAAATTATTTTAATCTGTGCTTTTATCTGTGGATAAATTAAGATAAGTAGATATCCTTGAGGTGCCACTTTTCAGTTTAATCGGTGAAAATTAAGCACACATGTATAAGATGGTATTTTATTATATATATAATATATATTTTATTGTGTGCGTGTACATACCATTGCAAGCAGACCAAAATTGCATCAAATGGTTTTGTACAAAGATCCATACACCTAACAATTTTTATTATCCTACCTCTGATACTGAAAATAAAACAATGCATGAAAACAGGCTGTATATATTTTAAAGTTTCAATGTATGAAACTATCCAAAAAGAGAAATAATCACTATGTGTGGTAGCTAGAGTCTCTCCTCTTTGTAAAGGTCATAGTTTATTTATTTTAGAAGAAGGGAGAGAGAGAAACATCAATCTGTTGCCTTCTGTATGTGCCCCAACTGGGGATCAAACCCACAGCCTGGTATGTGCCCTGACTGTAAATAGAATCCACCACCTTTCAGTGTAGACAGTGATGCTCCAACTAACCAACCAGGGCTCTATTTAATCTTTTTCACAGCTTTTTTATTATGAACACTGGAATTCTCTTCTAGGAAGTCAATTACTCATTGAAATCATTTCTTTTTCCCTCCATCAGCACTGCGTGGGGACTTTATGGTATTGACAGTATGCCAGATCTCAGAAGGAAAAAAACGTTGCCTATTGTACGAGATGTGGTAAGTCAGTCACTCCTGTTGAATTCTCTTTGATTGCATGTGTTCTCTTTGTCTTTATTGGATTTCATATTGTCCTTCTCATTAAATACCTGGCCTGTAAATATTTCATAGAATAGAACATATAAGAAGCTGGATTCTAGCAAGTGTTATATTTATTATTTCTTTAAAATCTATTAGATGGGGAAAATAACTCTAACCTTCTGACAGCTCTAGATATTAGTTGAAATTACAAATGGAGTTAAAATGACCCTATAATTGAGCAAAAAGAAGTCGCACAGCATGTCAAGCAAGCTGCTGCAACTGGCTTGGATGTGTTCCATGTTATGAATGACCACAAGTTTAATTTGCAGTTCAAGGCTTGCTTTGAATTTATTCACCTTAACTCAGTAGACGTTAATACTTATAAAGTAAGCCGATAATATGAATCATTTTTATTCTATTCTGTTAATATCAACTCTTGCCAAATGAATAAGCTCTTCCACTGCCTAAAGAAAACCATGGCTCCCAAGTCATTGTAACTTTCATTAGCCCTGAACATAACTCTGGGTAACTCAAGCTCTCCTATAATGAGATATACTGGGGAACATCTAGAGATGCAAAGAATTAATAATGTTCTGTATTATATTATGAAAACAAATAGCCCATCAGCATAACAAAGAGTGTTTTCTGACATCCACAATGTCTTCACATTTTTTCTGGAGGCATATTCTTAATAGTTTATGACATGAAAATATATTTTTTGCCAGAGAAACCAAAATTTATTTATATCAGTAACTTCTTTTTAATCTTCACCCAAGGACATGCCTTTATTGATTTGAGAGAGAGAGGAAAGTAGAGGAAGAGAGAGAAAGAGAAAGATCAGTGTGAGAGCACCTCAATCCGTTGACTCCCACATGTGCTCCAACAGGGGATCAAACCCACAACCTGGGTATGAACCCATGACCTTTCAGTGTACAGGATGATGTTCAACCAACTGAGCCACACCAGCCACGGTGATATCAGTAATTTTTAATTTTGCTATGAAAACCTTCATCTGAAAGCCATCACTTTAGTTTTAAAGTAGAAAGATACAATCATGACTGGGACGATCTTTTACTGAAAAGCATGCTGTGTCTGTCCTATTAGCTCAGAATACTGCCATGGTAGTGTGGATGTTATTTTAAAGTGTTAGGTTTATTTAACATCATTACACTCTTTTCTCACCTTTCTTATGTCTAATTATTTATACTTTGTTTTCTCTGACACATGGAATCTTCAGGCCATGGTAAGTGATTATTTAATTACTATTTGCCAATTTTCTCAATTGTACAATACACTTATTCATGGAATAAAAGTGGGCAAGATAAGGAAAATAAAGAGAGACATACAAAAATTATATGTTTGGGTTCTCCAAGAACTTAACATCTGGTTCAATTGTGAAAGACAGACCAACTTCTATAAACAGGTACAGACTAAAATAGGGTAAAGCATTATTTTAGGGACAGTAGGTGTCAGAGATGGATGATAATCTCAGATAAACCATTGGATGTAGCAGTGCAGATGGGTAGAGTGACTCCTTCCTCACTTAGGATTGTGCTGAACTTGATCTGGGTGCCTGACTTTGTAGCTACAAGGAGATGTATTTATGACCAGTCATTATTCATGACTTCCTGTAGCTTTTAATGGGAGAGCAGATCTAATATTCCCATATAGAACTTCTGATTTCCAAAGATTCCTATAGTACTGTTGAGTTTATTATCTATATAAATAAAAAGCCAGCAACCGGAATGCTATAATGACTGGAATGACCGGTCACTATGACACCCACTGCAGCCAGCGAACTGACCCAATCTGGGGCTGGGGCTGGCCAGCCAACCTCCCAAGAGCCCTCCCTCCAGTTGGCCTGCCCCTGATCAGCCTCTCCCATCCCATTGGCCTGAAGCCCCTCACCCGCAGCTGGCCCTGCTCCTGATTGCCCCCCCTCCACACCCCAATAGGGGGCGGGCCAGCCAGCCAACCTCCTCCCATCTCCTCCTCCTGACAGGCCAGGCCCTAATCCACCCCAATTGGGGTTAGGCTGGCGGGATCCCACCTGTGCACGAATTCGTGCACTGGGCCTCTAGTGTTACATATGTTTCAAGTAGAAGCAGTATATTGGTTCTATTTTACAGGGGAAACTAAAGGGACTTGACTCTTATTCACCTAAGTTGCCAACCTTGAGTGAAGAAAAAACCTCTGAGTAGAATGGTTCTCAATTGATAAAATGGACCCATGGAAGAAAATATCTTAGCTAGATTTGGCAGAATATTCCAGGGAACTGTGAACAACTCAAGAATGATCTAGCACCAATTAGGATTCAGGGTCATCACACACATCAGCTGGCTCTGTGCCAATGGTCATGTTTTATAAAAGAATGTGCTCATGACCACCTTGGGGAGAAAAATTCTAAAAGCCTCTTCTAGCCTGGAGTCCATAGCTGATTACCCTGCCTTACCGGACCTCAGTGATCTCATCTATAAAATGTAGGGGTTGGGTTTGATGGTTTAATGTTCAGCTTTAATGTTCTATGATTCCTCATTCTAGATGACTTGGCTGACTACTGAAAATGGCAGGTCCCTATTGAGCAAACATGAACAATAGTTTATATTCTTACATTTTTACATTCTGCTGAGCAGTCACCTCATGTGCCAATAATTCATAATTCTGTTTTAGACCTTGGCTGCCCGGAAATCTGGACTCTCCCTGGCTATGGTGATTAGGACATCACTGAACAATGAGGAACTGGTAGGTGCAAAGTCCATTACTATGTATCCATCATAGTCCAGTGGCAAAACCATCCTGTTTGATGCAGTCATTTGTAATGTTTGTTCCAGTTCTCCAGGAATAACTGGGAGCATGGGAAGAGTCTGATCCTAAAACAAATTTCCCCTGAGCCTCAGCTTCACTATCTTACAAATTATCCTGTGTTGCTCAACTATGCAAAAAATGTCCCATCTTTAGAAATGTGGTTCCATCCTAACACAATTTAGCTTTTATTTTCCCCCTGAAAAAAATCCTGTTAAAGTTTTACATAGTTCAAGTTTTGTCTCATTTATGAGGCTTTCCAAAATACCATCCTCCCTTTCTGGCTGAGCTATTAGTTTCTTTTGTGTTTGTTTTGTTTTGTTTTGTTTTTAGCATTTAATCACTACCTCCATAAGGTAATATAGTTAAGAGTGGGGGCTATTTGGGGTGAGTCCCATATCTTCCATTAAATTATCATTGTTGTATCTGGCAAGTTATATAACTGCTGTAAACCTGAGTTCTTTCATCTCTATAGTGAGGTGGCAATAAGAGGATTAAGGGAGTGGATCCATGTTTAACACCCAGCATAGCCTAAGATATAGTAAACAATAAATACAGGTGTCTTTCTATATTATTTTTCTTATTACACTTATTTTTATTATTTGTATAATCAACTTGCATAACCCTTTACTTTTAGACTGATATCTCTGAGGGTAACATAATATTTTGTTTGTTGATCCATATTTTCATTTGTGTTGCTTAGTACACTGTCTGGCATGAGGTGGAAGCTTTGTAATTCTTGCTGAATGAAAGAAGATACAAGTAAGCTGCAAATATCTAGGTCAGGGATTCTTAATTTGGCTCCTCAGATTCACTGGGGGGAGCTTTAAAACACACCTTCTGTCTGGGTCTCATTCCCAGTGATTCTGATTTAATTGGCTTCAGGTGTAGCCTGCACAGTTTTGAAAACTCTCAGGTGATTCTAACGTGCAGTGGATGTTGTAAAATGTAGCTCCATCCTGCACAGACACGGCTGAGGCTTTCACTTAAGACAATGTATCTGTGCCCCTTTCATATGGAAATTAATATACTCTACCTCTCTCAATGTTAGTGATTTTGTCATTCTTATAGAATTTTTTCCCAAAACATTAAATGTTATAAATTTCTATACCCTTGACATTTAAACATTATTTATATTTCTTATTCTCTTCTTCTTGTCATTGTCATCTTTCAAAAGCCCACATTTCCTAGGTCTTATCAGCAAACTCCCCAATCTCAATGTACATCAGCAAAACAATACATGTTCATTTGAATATCTGAGTGTTAAGACAAGTTAAAAGATTTTCTATTGTGCCAGGGAATTGAAATACTGTGGCTGCTTCCCCAGGGGCATGGGACACCATCTAATATTCTGAATATAGTTTGGATTTAAGAGAAAGTAAACATCCTCTATTGATATATTCCTACACTATGCCTTTTTTATATTTTTAAATATGGTAATTGGTTTGAAGTGCAAATACTCATTGCTATAAGAACCTCAGAGGAGCCCAGCCAGTGTGGTTCAGTGGTAGAGTGGTGGTCACAGTTTGATTCCTGACCAGGGCACATGCCTGGGTTTCAGGCTCAATCCCTATTAGGGGATGTTCAGGAGGCAGCCAGTCAATGATTCTCTCTTATCATTGATGTTTCTCTCTCTCTCTCTCTCTCTCTCTCACCCTCTCCCTCTCCCTCTCTTTCTCTTTCTCTCTCTTGCCTTTCCTACCCCTAAAATTTAAAAAAAATGCTAAGAGGAAAGCAATAGAGATTAGAGGAATGTTACCACAATTTCTAAGGCTCTGACAGGGAACCTACCCTCACTTTATGGTTAATTAACTATTGATCTACTTTTCACCAACTTAACTATCATTTTATTTCTTTAGTTTTAGAAGCGTGGATGTAAAAGTTTTTTGTTTGTTTTCTGTGCAGGTGCTGGGTGGATAAGTAGCATCCATCAGCTCCCTCTCAAATTCATAAAGCCCATTTCCCTAGAACCCATGTCTCAAAAAGTAAATGAAATATGGCCACTGTACAGCAGGCATATTAAGTGTCACCCTTGACAAGCCATCACATTAATTCATTGCATGGGCAACTAACATACATGCTGAAGAGGATAGTGTCCATTTCTTGGTGTTGGAGGTCTTCCTAGGCACCCTCAAAGTGAAGGCCTGAGATACTGGCCTCTACATGAAGGAAAAAGGCTTGGCCATGTGGAAACTACCAAATGTTAGCTCTTGTATTTTCGTTCAAGAGATGTATGTAAGAAGCTCAGATATCTCTTCCAAAGAAGGAAAAGGCTGTAAAGCCTGATGTGAGAGGCCAGTGGGTCAGCAGCACAGACCCCATTAGCACTGTTGGCAGTGGGACAAGCATGCCAGGTGCCCCTCCACCTCAGTCCCCACTCACCCGTGAGGAGTTGGTGGAGCTGACTGGGAATCTCAGTCTAGGAAGCCCTTCAGGAGTAAGGTCTCTGAACATTTCCATCTGGCTTAATGCAAGAAGGGATAACCATCTAGTATCCATATACGGCCACAATGGTCTGCCTGGTACTACGCTACCTAGCTTTGTCCTTGCTTTCAGCGTGTTTCCTCTGTGTGGACCCAACAGTGGGACAACCAAAGTAGATCCATTCAAAATTAAATAAATATTAATTGACTACTACGTGTCAAGCATTGTTTCAGATTCTGGAAATAAGGCAGTGAACAACTCAGCTAAAAATCCCTGCTGCCATGAGGCTTTAATATAGGAGGAGGGGAGCTGGCAGAAGGGAGTTGGTAGCTGCTGGAGGGGACAGAAGTTGGGGGTCTGGGTGAAAAAGGTGATGTGATTGAGAAGTACAGATTGGTAGTTACAAAATAGTCACAGGGAACATATGTTCCCTAAAACACAGCATAGGGAACATAGTCAATAATATTGTAATAACTATGTGTGGTGCAGGTGGGTATTGGAAATATCAGGGGATCACTTTGTGAAGTATATGATTTTCCAACCACTATGTTGTACACTTGAAACTCATACAAAATAATAGTCAATGTAAACTGTAATTGAACAATAAAATTATATATGTATATGTATGTATGTATATGTATATGTATATGTGGTAGGGGAAGTGAGATACTATGTTTATATTGTTGGTACAGGTCATGATGGAAGCTTCTATCAGGCAGGAGTTATAGAAACTCAAGCAGAGTGAGGAATACAATTCACCAAGCCTAAAAGAGATTCTAGAACCCTGCTTTTTCTATCTGGGTTTAGGACCCTGTTTAGGAGTCTGGTCTATTGGCATCCTTCCGGGATTTTCCCTTCTAAGTAAGGGTTGGTTTGTCTAGGAGACTGTGGGTCCTTCTTCCAGTAATGGGATTCAGGGCCAGTAAAAGGGACTCACAAGAGCTAGGTATAGGAATAATCAGGAGATCAGACCTGGGCCATATTCCTAGCATGATACTAGAGAGATAACATGGAGGGTTAAAGCCGGTGAGAACACCTGTCTGTTCTGGGGCTCAATCCAGATGTTATAGGCTCACATACACACAGGTGCTCTGGACTATTGCTCAGGAACAGGGACCCTTGCAAGCCACATGGACAAGTGTTGAGGTGAAATGGGCCTGAATTACAACCTCAGCTCCACCTCTTACTGCCTCTCAAAGCTTGTTTCTTATCAGTACTCCTTGACTCCCTGAGACTTGTTCACCTCATCCTGAAAATGAAAGTGATAATACTTATCTCACAATTTATGGGAATTAAAAAATGCCTTGCCAGGCAGAGCAGGTGGCAGTCAGGGAAGCAGGACAGGGACTTGTGTTGAGGTATCCAGGATATATGCTAAGTTCAAGGTTTCCCTGTCACTTGGCAGCTGAGGGTCCGATGCCAGGGAGTACTGAGTTGGAAACCAGCAGTAATGACGCCAAATGTAAACACCATCTCATTTGCAAGTGTTGCTATTGGTCCTGCTTTTGTCCTTCTCCCAAAGAGCTTGAGATAGATGTTGGTCCACTACACCAGTAGCTATGGAAACCTGAGGAAGTTACAGAAACTTTCTTGACCTTGATTTCCTCATATGTTTACTAATTATATAAGATTTTTGCATCTGTGTTCCAATGGCCTTTGATTACTGTGTATTTGAGCAATTTGGGCATCAATAATAAATCAGCTTCATAAATTAAGTTTGGAAATTTCCTTTTTGTCACTTCTCTGTGATGGTTTGCATGAAATAAATGCTCTATACCTTGAAAGACTAGCAAAACTTGCTACTAAAACCATCTTTATTTTCTTAGGGTAGTGATTTGACAACTGAATCAATTTATTTAATATAATAATCCTATCCATGTTTTTTAAACATTTCTTCTTGAGTCAATTTTGATAATTTTTTCCCAGAAAGTTTTTTCCCCTAAATGTTCTAATTTAGTACCACTAAATTATTCAAATAATCATATTAGGATATAGAAATGCTAGTGCTGTCTTTATCTTATCATTTCATACTTTCTATCTTTTGTAAAATCAGTACTGTAAGAGGTGTACCTGGCATTTGTTTTATTGATTCCAAAGTGTTTCTTTGTTATCTATTTTGTTTATTTCTGTTCTTGTAATGTTTAGATTCACCCTCCAATCTCTTTGTATTCATTCTGATGCTACTTTTGTAACTTATTAAGTTGGATATGTAGTTTAATAATTTTCATTGTTATCAACTATTGCATACATACAGAGAATATTCACAACATAAGTGAAGGAAATAAATAACAATAACACATACACCTAGGAATCCATGGCTCAGTTGTAGAAAGAGAATATTTCCATCCTATGTATTTCTTCCTCATTTTCTTTTTTATTCTGGTCTTAAATATTTTGTCTGTTTCTTACCACACTTGTCTATTTTAACATAATTTCCTTTTTTTCTTTTTGAACATATGCACTTGAAGTTATTCATTTTCCTTTCAGTTCATTTTAATCGCATCATACAAGTTGTATACATAATGCTTCTACTATTGTCATATAGTTATTTCATAAATGATCCACTGGTTAGTATTTTGGTTCATCAATTACATAGAAATATTTTTTAATCTTCCAAAGATAAGTCATATGGGTTTAATTTTTGTTACTGGATTGTGTTCAGAGGACATGGACTGTATACTCAGTCTTTAGTATTTAATTGAGAATTGTTTTATGGCTTATTACATAATCAATTTTGTAGCTATCCCATATGAGCCTTTCTTGTTGGGTACATTAATTTGGGGAGTTTTATACTACCAATAAACTGTTTCATTCAGTTTTGCTAGCAAGCTTATCTTTTAGATGCTTTTTCCTTTAAATATATTCTCTGTGATATTAATATAACTACACTAGATTGATTAGGTCAATTTTTTCTTGATACATTTTCTAGTCCCATTTTAAATATCTTAATGCTATATGTGTATCTCATAAACACACACCTTAATTTTAAAATTCCATTTGAGAAGTTATCTTTTTACAGATAAATTCAGTCAGTTTATACTTATATTTGAGCTTTGTGCTATTTCTTTTAAAAAATTTACTCTCTTTTTTCTTTATCTCTTTTCCAATCTTCCTTTGTATATATTGAGTTTTCTTTATTTTCCCTCTTCTCCATCAAATGGGTTATCTATACTATTTCTTGTAATATAGTTAATATATTTCTTAAATGTTTAATAAGCATCCTTTACTT